AATTATAGTAATTAGCAGAATGCTGTATTTCAATAGTAACCAACCTAATTTTTATCAAATATACATTATATCGGTTTAAATTTTCTTACTAATTTTTTTCACTAATTAAGAAATTTTCTTACTGATTTTTTTCACTAATTAAGATCGATATTATGGTGGGTACGTAGGTAAAATGGCTGATCAAATAATATTGAAATTTATTTATATTCAACCTTCTAATCCCATTCAAGTCAATTCAAATTCGCATTATCAAATTATTTTATTTTGGATTGATCTTGAATGAACTTTTAATAAACGTGGCGTGTCAACAACGAAAGTTTACATTTCTACGATCCCTTTTTAATGAAAACCAGGGTTTTAGTTTGTTTAATATGAAAAATTCTTGTTATTTATATAAGGGGCTCGAAAATGAAAATTCAAGACCATTAAAATATAAATAAGGCAAGCAATTATCGAAAAAATCAAAAAAGTGAAGACAAACCGACTATTTTTCTCATCAATCTTTATTATTTTACAATTCATTATTTTTTTTCTATCAATTTCCCAATTATCTCTTCGAACAAATTCCATCTATTTAAAAACAACAATGAGATTCCTGATTACTATCATTGTACTTTTAACCTCCATTGCAATCCTTGTCCAAACATCGCCTGTGACAGAGCCAAGTAAACATTTTAATTGTTTCTTTTATCAAGCATGCTATTACACTTGGATAAATTCAAAAAAAAACAATAATGAAGCATGTATTAACCCATTTCTATTTGTTGTCCTCACTATAAAGATCATGGTGAATTAGATCAACTCTGGCAATCAATGTTTACAAAATATTCGAGGGATCATTTTTCTGCCATAAACGTTTTAGAAACTTACATAAGGAAATTGTATTTCAAATTTAGTAAGAAAGAAAAAGAAAATGGAATACATTTAATGCACATGGACCATATTGTCGATGCTGTTGATCATGTAGACGAGGTTGTAAGGGACTTCTTGAGCAACTTTATTAACTTAAAGCACCCACTTTACAGGTGGCGGCCCAAATCCAAGGGTCCAAAAAAATCTATGGAGCACAAATCCAACGAGCCCAAACCCAAG